TCCACTGGTGCACTCCCCAAATGCCTGCAACAGCCAGAGCTGAGCTGATCCAAAGCTAGGAGCTAGGAGTTTCTTCTGAGTCTCCCACGTGGGTGCAGGAGCCTAAGGACTTAGACCATCTTCCACTGCTTTCCCAGGCCATAGCAGAGAGCTGGATTGGAACCCATATGGGCATTGGCACTGCAGGCCAGGGCTTTAACCCCTGTGCACAATGCCAGCCCTGATGTATTCTTTCATTTGTTGTTAGTCAGTTTGCAAACAATTTAATCATGTTTTTTTCTTCATTGATAGTGTTGTGAGGTTGGTCTACAGTTCATGTGTATAATCAATAGATTTTGATAGCCATGTTATACACAATACATCAATGTAGTTGAGATGATTTGTTTCCTGTGCTATAATAAGATTTAAGGAACATTAGAAGCATCTAGTCCCTAAAGCTAACAGAATTCTGTGAAACTACTGTACTTGGGCATGGGGCTTGGAGTAAGAGAGGCAGCAACTTGGTGACAATCTAAGGAAATAAGTCTGTTGAGACTTCATATACCTCTATTAGGGTCAGTCTGGATGAATCACACTTATCCTAGACAGCCGAACGCTTCAAGCAGATTTTCTGCCATATTTGCAAAGTGGTTGTGCTTCATTACTTCGCTTATTTCCTTCTGATTTTGTGCTTTCTCCATTCGCATTTAGGTCTTCTAGCTTTGAGTTTTGTTTTTTTCCGAAGAACAACTTTATTTTACCATTTTTACTTTTTATTTATTCAGTGTAGTAACTTTCTAGTATTAGACAGCACTGTTAAATTTCATTCTTCCTGTCTTGTGTACACTGTTCTTTTCGTGTAGAGACCCAGAGTATTTTTCTTCATCTTTAACATATAACAGTTTATCTAGATCTTTCTTAGAGTTGACAACTCCACTCAATATCCCAGACACACAGTGCGTCTTTATGGTATTTATATTCAGTGTATTTTCTTTTGGGGGGAGAAAAGTTTTACTGAATTATCATTTTAAATATTTTGCTGCACTGTTTTTTCTCTTTGATACAAAGTTCAACACAATTGATGAACACCTATGTAAGATGTGAAACTAAACTCCTAGAAAGAAAATGTAAGGAAAAAGCTTCGTAACATTGGGTATGGTAATTTCTGGAATCTGGTATAAAAACACAGGAAACGAGAGCAGAAACAACAAAGAGAAGAAGAAAGAACATTTGAGTTTGATAGGACTCCATCAAACTTAACAACTTCTGTACAACAAAGGAAGCAGTAACAGAATGAAAAGGCAACTTAAAGGATGGGAGAATGTATCTGCAAATTGTATCAGTGATATGGGGTTAATATCTAAAATGTATGAAGAACTACACATTAACAACCAAAAGAAAAAAAATCAAATAACCAGATTAAAAACCAGGCAAAAGGCTGGCGCCGCGGCTCACTAGACTAATCCTCCTCCTGCGTCGCCAATACCCCAAGTTCTAATCCTGGCTGGGGCGCCGGATTCTGTCCCGGTTGCTCCTCTTCCAGTCCAGCTCTCTGCTGTGGCCCAGGAGGGCAGTGGAGGATGGCCCTGCACCCGCATGGGAGACCAGGAGGAAGCACCTGGCTTCTGGCTTCAGATTGGTGCAACGCGCCGGCCATAGCAACCATTTGGGGGGTGAACCAATGGATAAGGAAGACCTTTCTCTCTCTCTCTCTAACTGCCTGTCAAAAAAAAAAAAAAAAAAAAAAAACAGGCAAAGGGCTTGAACAGACATTTATCCAAAGACATACAAATACAAATGGCCAACAGCATGTAAAAAAGATGCTGAATATCCCATCACCAATCACTGGGAAATGCACATCAAACTACAGTCAGATAACACCCACTTATTAGGACAGCTCCCCAAACCCAGAGAACAGAAAAAAACAGGTATTGATGAAGTTGTGGAGAAAAGGAAACCCTTGTTCTCCATTGTGGAGATGTATACTGCTCCAGCCATTATGGAAAACAGTAAGGAGGTTCCAAAAAAAAAAAAAAAAAAAAAAAAAAAAAAAGCAGCATCCATTTCTGGATAAACAAGCAATCCCATTTCTGGATAAACAATGAAATCAGCATCTGAGGATCTGCACTCCCACATTCCCACAATACCGTTACCCACAACAGCTGAGCTGTGGAAACAACCTGTGTTCACCCAGGGATGAATGAATAAAGAAAACGTGGCAATGATACACAGTGGAGTATCATTCAGTCTTAAACAAGACTGTGACAATATGGATGAACCTGGAAGACATTATGCCACCTATGTGAAATAAGCCAGTGACAGAAGGACTAACTCTGCGTGACTCCACTTACGTGGAATCTAAATAGTCAAACTCACAGAAGCAGAGTAAAATAGTGACTGCCAGCAGCTGGCACAAGTGGGGAATTATTCAATGGCTATAAAGTCTCAGTTGTACGAGACAAAGTTCTAGAAAGCAGCGTGCCTAGAGTGAACCACACTGTGAGATACATAAGATGGAAGAAGGCAGAAACAAGAAAACACACAAAAGGCTACAAGGAAACATCTGGAGGTGATGGATTTTCTGTCTTGATGGTGTCACAGGTGCATGCACGTGTCCAAAGTCCCCAAATTGCATATGCTAAATAAGTGCACTTTTTTGTATACTACACTTCAATAAAGTTGTTAAAAATAAAAAATTTAAAAAGATATTCTGGGGGCCGGCACTGTGGCCAGCAGATTAATGCCCTGGCCTGAAGCGCCAGCATCCCATTTGGGCGCTGGTTCGAGACCTGGCGGCTCCACTTCTGATCCAGCTCTCTGCTATAGCCTGGGAAAGCAGTAGAAGATGGACCAAGTCCTTAGGCCCCTGTGCCCGTGTGGGAGACCCAGAAGCAGCTCCTCCTGGCTCCTGGCTCTGCTCCTGGCTTCGGATTGGTGCAGCTCTGGCCATTGCAGCCATCGGGTGGAAGACCTCTCTCTCTCTCTCTTTCTCTGCCTCTCCACTGTGTAACTCTTTCAAAAATATAAATAAATCTTTTTAAAAAATAATAAAAAAGATATTCTGGTACATGCATATGATAAAGTATGATTCAGCTTTTAAAAGACTGACTAGGGGGCAGGTGCCGTGGCTCACTTGGTTAATTCTCCGCCTAAGGTGGCAGCATCCCATGTGGGCGCCAGATTCTAGTCCTGGTTGCTCCTCTTCCAGTCCAGCTCTCTGCTGTGGCCCAGGAGGGCAGTGGAGGATGACCCAAGTGCTTGGGTTCCTGCACCCGCGTGGGAGACCAGGAGGAAGCACTTGGCTCCTGGCTTCGGATCAGCGTAGCTCCAGCTGTGGCGGCCATTTGGGGGGTGAAAACCAACGGAAGGAAGACCTGTCTCTCTTTCTCTCACTGTCTAACTCTATCTGTCAAAAAAAAAAAAAAACTGCCTAAGTATACTGCAACATAGATGAATCTTTTTATGTAAAATTCAGAGTTACAGAGAAAGAGGGAGACAGAGAGAGATCTTCCATCCGCTGGTTCACTCCACAAATGGCTGCAATGGCCAGGTTTGGGCCAGGTCTTCCATGTGGGTACAGGGGCCCAAGCACTTGGGCTGTCTTCCGCTGCTTTCCCATGTGCATTAGCAAGGAGCTCGATGGGAAGCGGAGCAGCTGAGACTTAAATCACACCCATATGAGATGCCAGCAACACAGGCGGCAGCTTTACCTGCTAAGCTGCAGTACCAGCCCCAAAGACGAACCTTAAAGACACTGTGATAAGTGAAACAAGCCAGTCAACAAAAACACAAACGCTCCAAGACCTCACTTTTCCAATGGCTCTACGGGATAAAAAAAAAAGTCTTAGGAAGTGGAACGGTGATTGCCAGGGCCTAGAGGGAGAGAGAAAAGGGGGATAGTTGTCCAACGGAGTTTTTATTTTGCAACATGAAAAAGAGAGCTACTGACCTAGAACGTGCAAACATGGTTAAGACAGTTTAAATTTTATGTCATGTGGTTTTTACCACAATGAGAACAATTCAGTATAGTTGAACTTTATGGTCTTCAACTATATACAACCTGATGAGGTTTCTTCTGCCTTTGTCCATTTTTATTACTTTCTCTTATTCTTCATATCTTTTCAATTGAGTACCGTCTTCTTTCATGCTGAATTTAGGTATTTCTCCCTTATTTGACAAATAAATATTGCATAGATTTATTACAGGATGCTGCTGTGAAATATGTATACTTTGTCAAATGGCTAAATGGAGCTCGTTACATCTCAGTCTCTCATGTTGGACACACTGAAGTCTACTGTCTCGGCAACTTTCAAGGATGCAACATATCACTGCAAAATATGTCACTGAATTCAAGTTTCTGAGATGATTTTCCCCTTTTGTTTTTTCCCCCGAGTTCTGCCTGATCCCCCTCACGTGTCCCCGTGCTTCGGCCAGCACCGCTCACGGGCTCTCTGGTGTCCTCACATCTGCACTCCCTGCTCTATCTGCAATTCACGCTGGACGCTGCATCACGGTCATCATCTGCCCTGTAGCAGCCTTTGTCTGTATGTGGAGGGAGATGCATCATCTGCTAAGAAGTTTTAGTTTGAATTTTCTCGTTTTAGTCTTTTCTTAACAGTATTCCTCCAGAGAGGGTTTATTTGCCCACTGAAGATGAAACTGCGGAGGTGGATATTTAGCCTACCAGTTAAGACGTTGGCATTCCATACTGGAGTCCTTGGTTTCAATTCCTGGCTCCAGCTCTAACTCTAGCTTCCTGCTAATGCACACCCCAGGAGGCAGTAGTGACAGCTCAAGTAACTGGGTTCCTGCTATCCACCTACGACAGCTGGATTGTGTTCCTGGTCCCCGGGGTTCAGCCCCAGACCAGCCTTGGCCATTGCAGGCATTTAGGGAGTGAACCAGCGGATAGGAGGTCCCTGGCCAGTAGAATGAACTCTGTGCAAGTTGGTGACCTTCTGTGGGCCTTTTTTCTCATTTGTAAGGACAATAATAGGGGGAAGGAAATTATTTCCAGTTCCTTAGAGTGTGTGGGTGATGCCTTTATTACATAAACGTAACCTCTTAGTGTATGTACATACAAGATCTCCCCCTGCTGGACAGTCACCCATCTTCTGAGTAAATTTACAAAAATAAAATATCTATACAGATAAAATACAATTTAAAGGATCTTCTTTAAATAATATTGTGACTTTCTTGTTCATCTGTCCATCTCTGCCCTCTGCTCTGTCTGCATTCACTGCTGAAGGAACCTGAAGCCACAGTGAGCACGGCTCAACATGGACACCAGAGGTCGTCCACCAGCTCTTCCCAGAGAAGCCCATGTGGACAGCACCCTAAAGGGTGACAGCTCCCTGTGTCCGTAATTCTTCTCCCCAGGAGAAATCGTTCTGCAGCCAAATGTGACTGCTGGCCTCGGGGCAGACTCTTCCAGCACAGCACCACCCGTCCATCTGCCCAGGTGGCTCACGGGCGTTAGGTGCAGGCTCCCTGCTACGCCTGCTCGCCAGCACCGCTTCCACCGGGCCCTGGGCCTTTGATGGATGCCTGGGCTTCCGAGGAGCGCGAGGCCTGCTTGGGCAGGCGGATGGGGACGTAGACGTTGGAAGCACAGTGCTCCCTGAGGAACTCGCCCCCCTTCTCTTCATAGTCTTTCCTGGTGATCCAGGCTTCGTCATCATTCAGGTGGTCCAAGGCCCAGTCACGAGCACCATACCAGGCATCCAGCACAGGGTTCAAGGCAAGGTGAACCTGCAACACGAAGAGAACGCTCACCAGAAGGATGTCTCCACGGCGGCTCCAGGCAGGCACATTCTGCAGGCGGCTCCAGGCAGGCACATTCTGCAGGCTCAGCTACAGTCCCCACCTTACCCCCAGGGTATTCACAGACAGACAGGGCTACCCACGCATCCTCCAAACACAGCCGCTCCAGAGAGTGCCAGGTCACAGGGTGCCCCAGACACGACCTCACAGACCAGGCGGTTGCCAGGCGCCTTCTGAACACAGAGGGACCAGCTGCCCAGCCTGCTACCCCGCGATGCTGTCTGCCACAGCTGCCAGTGGAGAGGAAGGAGAGGCCTTCCAGGCCCTGCATCCCTGTCTGCAAGCAGAGGCTGATGTGAGGTGGCTTTGGTCATGGTGGCAAAAGGTTCTAGGCAAGATGACAGCAGAGGTGGTGAGCTGGGTGTTCCCCATGCTGCCAGCGCTCACCTTCCACTGCTCATCACCGGAGTGGGCTGGGGTCAGTCATTTTGAGGACTCCTTATCTAGGCTGACCGGACCATTCATAGTAAACCAGGAATCCTGTTCTCTGGGGTGCCGACCTGACTTCCCACCTCCTCCCTCCACCAACCACACAAGCGCCAGGGAGGAATGATGTCTTTGGAAGGGACGGGCAGGCCTTGGTGGCAAAGAATGGAGGTGATGACGTGTGAGCTCAGGAGCAGACCACCAGGGCTGCCACACAGGCAGGGGCTTGTAAAGAGGGACCTCTCCCAAGATGAGGAGGACTCGCTGAGAGAACGTGTGTGCTGGTATGCTGCCTGGCAAAGAGGAGCCCACAGACGGAGCCATCACTGAATAGCACCTAGGTTATAATGCACTCTGACTCAGCCATCAAAAAGATGCGTTGGAAATAAACTTACTGGCGGAAAAACCGTCACACTCATCTGAAAGTGAAAAAAACACGGGCTATGGAACAAGCTGTCAACAACCTCGTTTTGTGACTGAAGATATACAGATAACCTTAGTTCACAGAGGCTGAAACTACGCTATTTTTTGGTTTTAGTTTGGCTTATTTAAGTTGCCTGATATTTTAGCAATGTTTTCAAATGTTTTGCTAGTTAAGAAGACAGACCTAGGAAGGAATATAGGTAATGACAGCAGAGGAAGTGACACTAAACCGGCCACTGAGAAAGGAGCTGGAATGAATCAGGAAGAGTACTCTACACAAAAGGAACCAGCACGTGCAAAGGCCCTACGGCAGGAAAACAAAGCATTTGTGGGGAGCTAACGGGTCACTGTGGCTGCAGTGCAAGGCGGAAGGGAGCGATGAGAGAATGCGGTTATTCCAAGGTGAGATCCAGAGAGACCGTGTAAACCGTGGGGGGCGGAGAGGAGTGCGGCTTCACCCCAAAGGCTGGGAGCTGCGACCTAACTGGTCTCCTGCTTCCAAGATTCCTCCTGAGACTCCATTTTTCACACCAATGTCAAAAATACTTCCTAAAATGCAAGACTCTCCTATTTAGACTCCTTCATGCCCACCATTGTTGAAAAGATAATGGCTGTGCAGAAACAGTTAAGGGAACAGGCTTCCTGCTTACGCCCAGAAAGGGCTGTCTGCAAGCCTGGGCCTCGGCGGGCGTCTGGGAACTTGGATTTGGGAGGAGTCTACCACGGCCTCCTAGAGCGGCTCACTGTGCGGCACTCTGTTCTCCTTCTGCAAGTCTGGAATTCGGGCATGTTCCAGGCAGGGGGTACCTATGTGATCAGCTCCCCAAACAGAAGCCTGCGGCACCTACTCTCTTAACAAGCTTCCCTGGGTGGTGACATCCCACTTGCCATCACAACTCACTACTGGGGGACTGAAATGCAACATGTATGACTCCATAGGGAGAGGATGCCGGAAGCCGTCCCTGGTTTCCTGGTATTCTCCCCACGCACTTTGTGTTTTGCTTTATTCTTTCGCCATAGGGGTCACAGCCATCAGTAAGATTACACACTGAGCCCTGTGAATTTTTCTGGCTAAACAGCACCAACACAATGGCTAGTGTCTGAGTTTACCATGTGCAGACCTTTTCAGTACACAGAGTCCTGGGAAGTGGTGCAGCGATTACCTCCTTCTTATACTGAGCTTATACTTGCTAAACGGAGGTTTAGCAAGACTCAGCATGGTGGGGCCGGTGCTGTGACACAGCAGGTTAAGCCGCTTTCTGCAGTGCTGGCATCCCACATGTGCACTGGTTTGAGTCCCAGCTGCTCCACTTCCAATCCAGCTCCCTGCTAACGTGCCTGGGAAAACAACTGAGGATGGCCCAAGTGCTCAGGTCCCTGCACTCACATGGGAGTGTGAGACCCAGAAGAAGCTCCTGGCTCCTGGCTCCTGGCTTCAGTCTGGCCCAGCCTCATTGTGGCCACATGGGGAGTGAACCAGCGGATGGAAGACCTCTCTCCTCTCTCTCTCTCCCTCTCTAGCTATAACTCCTTCAAATAAAGAAATAAATAAACCTTAAAAAAAAAAAGATTCAGCGCGGTGTGGAGGGAGTCAAGCACATCAGGCAGCACAGATCACAGCCGAGCTTCTCTCTGCAGCACACAAGGCTCTGCAGCTTGCAGCCCTGCTGCCCTTCGTGCCACCTGCCCCACGCCTCTGCCAGTCCACGCCTCTGCCCCGCTCAGCCACTTCTCACCACCTCAGCAAGCTCTGGGTCCCTGTTCTTTTGCTCTTACCAGTTCTTCCATCTGGAATGCTTGCTCCAACCCACTCCTTTCCTCGATCGGTGGACGGCACACACTTGCTTGTCCTTAGGACGTGCAGATGATGGCGCCCCCTCCACGGACACTGGCAGGCCCGTGCCTCATGTCCCTCATACTCTGGCTCATCCCAGCCCACGAACCTTGCTGCTCCCCCTCAGCTGGGGGTTGTGTCCAGGACATCTCAGTGCCCCCATGGTGCCTGGCCCACGATAGGAGCTCAGACCGGGTTTTTTGGTAAGCAGGCATTTGGTAGATAAACTGTGGAGCATGCATACTATACAGCCACTAAAAAAAAGTTGATTTTAGAAGAATAATGACATGGGAAAATGGCAGACTGAGAAAATGAAGGTTACAAAGCAGCACACACTCACTGGTGCAGAAAGCGGATGAAAGGGAAGCTCTGCCTGCATGGCCTGAGGAGGGAGAATGACTCTCAGTGCACATATGCTCTCTTACACTCTGAGTGTTATACGCATGTACTGCTTTTCAAATAAAAACACAAAGTAGTAGGTAACATGATTCCCATCTGTTCTAAAAATTAAGCATAAAGACCATAAGGAAAGCCACAGAAATGTTAACTGAGGATAGCTCAGGATGATGGAGGTACAAAGTAATTTTTCTCATTTAGACTTCACTTCCGCAGCCAGAAAACAAACAGCGAATGCTGTTTTCACAGCCGTCGGCGGCACACACAGGCAGTACCTGGAAAGAAGACTGGAAGGGCCTCATCGCCAGCAGCTCCTTCTCAATCCTGGCTTTCATCCCGGGGTACATCACGTTCCCGCCAGTGAGGAAGACGTTCTGAACGAGCATCTCCTGAGTGTCCTTCGGGTACCTGGAGAGAAACGATTCCTTTTGCTCCAGCGCCCCCAGTGCATATCAGAAGAGGATGCACACACGGAGATGTGGCTCTCAGGCAAAATAAATAAGCTTCTACACAGAAAAGTAAAATAAACAAAACCCAAACTTCTGCTTTTCATTTGTGTGTCTCCACAGAACGCCAGCACAATGCATTATAATTTTTGTATTTCTGTAATACTTTTTTTTTTTTTTTTTTTAATTTGACAGAGTTAGACAGTGAGAGAGAAAGACAGAGAGAAAGGTCTCCCTTCCGTTGGTTCACCCCCACAAAATGGCCACTATGGCTGAAGCTACAATGATCCGAAGCCAGGAGCCAGGCGCTTCCTCCCGGTCTCCCATGCAGGTGCAGGGGCCCAAACACTTGGGCCATCCTCCACTGCCTTCCCAGGCCACAGCAGAGCTTGGACTGGAAGAGGAGCAACCAGAACTAGAACCCGGCACCCATAAGGGATGCCGGCACTGCAGGTGGAGGATTAACCAAGTGAGCCACGGCACCAGCCCCTCTGTAATACATATTTTTAAAAGTCAACTTTAGGGACTGGTGTTGTAGCATTAAGGGGCTAAGTCGCCGCCTGTAACACCAGCACCAATTTGAGTCCTGGCTGCTCCACTTCTAATCCAGCTCCCTGCTCACGGCCCAGGAAAGCAGCAGAGGATGGCCCACGTGCTTGGGCCCCTCCACTTACATGGGAGACCCGGAGGAGGCTCCTAGCTTCAGCCTGGCCCAGTCCTGGCTGTCATGGTCATTTGGGGAGTGAACCAATGGATGGCAGATGGCTCTCTGTCAAATAAATAAATAATAAATCTTTAAAAAGAAAAATCAACTTGAAATTTGTATGTATTTGAAAGACAGGCAGAGATCTTCCATCTGTTGGTTCGACAGCTGGGGCTGAGCCAGGCCAAAGCCAGGAGCCTGAAACTCAATCTGGGCCTCTCACATGGGTGACAGGGACCCACTACTTGAGCCATCGCAGGGTGGACATTAGCAGAAAGGTGGAAGAGCCAGGACTTGAACCCAGGGACTCATATATGGAAGGTGGGCATCTCAAGCAGCACTGTAACCACTGTGTCAAACATCTGCCTCAAAAAACGTCACTGAGGACTGATTTACATACAATTTGAATAAGTGTGACAAATTTCTATGCCCCAGTAACTAACACAGCTGGGACACAGAACAGTTCCATCACCCACAAAAGTCCTGCCTCCCTTTCAAGGGCCCGTCTCCTGACCTGTACTTTCTTTTTTAAACAACAGCTTTATCTAGTGCGTTTGATCGCTTTCCTACCCATTGTTAAGACAAAGTTCAAAACCATTCAAACAAAGTAGAGGCAAAAGCTTTTTTCCTTTGCTAGGAGTGAGTTTCCAGCCTGTTGTACCTGAGAGAAGCATCCACAGTACTACAAATTATGTTCTCTACTTGGCCAACTTGAATGATGAAAACTCACAGATTTTGAAAATGCTGTATAAATGGGTGGATAGAGAGGGACTATCATATAAAGTACAGGCTTAAATCAATAAAATACCTTCAAGGAGGAGGGAACAACCTTTTAGAAGCTGTGTTTAGGGTGATTTAAAATCACTAGACTTTAAAAACTTGAAGGTTTATAGGAAAGCCAGTGCAGCAGATATGATCAACAGTGTTGCTCAAACTTAAAGAAGCTTAAAACTCCTCGAATGAGCCGCACATGTTCAGGAAACAACTGCAGAACCCAGTCAGGTGCCAGGCCTGGCGACAGAGAAAAGACGACGATCTGAGCATGGCGAGTCAATGAGGAGACAGCAAGACAGATTCCCCAGGGCCCCGCCACCCAATCCACCACTCAGGGCAAAATCCACGGAAGTGGTCCAGGAAAAGACAGGAAAAGGAGTCTGAGTGTCTTACCTGTCCAGGATATACTGCAGAGTCTCTGCCACTCCGGCCTGCTCTTCTCCAATGAGAGACGGCTGGAAAATAATTTCTGGAGCTCGAATTCTTTCTGTCCCAACAAACAGCTGATGGTAGGCTGCCAGGTTGAACACGGGCTTTAAAAACCAAGGATTTAAAAGATATTTTAGGTCACAATGACAAACATGCCAGTTTCTTCAAACTGCCTTTCTTATTCCAGCAGAATTTCTGTCCTGTGTTCGTGGCACAACAGCCTCTTGCCAGCTCTCTCGACTCGGTAACTCTATTTTCTACCTTCTTTTAATCTCTGAATTGCAACTACCCACACATGTGCATCAGTAAGTGGTCCCCGAATTACAGAGACTTTGTGAAAGGACCACATCCCCCACCCAGTGCTTAGCTTAGCACCCCTGGTCCCCACACAGCAAGAAAACTCTTTCCCGAGGCCTCAGATCCCAGGTCAGTTTCTCCAGCTGCTAATGTCACAACTCCGATGAGGATTAAGAATAATGACACTGGGGGCCAGCACTGTGGCATAGCAGGTAAAGCTGCCACCTACAGTGTCGGCATCCCATATGGGCGCTGGTTTGAGTCCTGCCTGCTCCACTTCTGATCCAGCTCTCTGCTATGGCCTGAGAAAGCAGTAGGAGGTGGCCCAAGTCCTTGGGCCCCTGCATCCACGTGGGAGACCTGGAAGAAGCTCCTGGCTCCCAGCTTCGGATTGGCGCAGCTCCAGCCGTTGCAGCCAATTAGAGAGTGAACCAGCGGATGGAAGACCTCTCTCTCTGCCTCTCCTTCTCTCTCTGTGTGACTCTGACTTTCAAATAAATAAATAAGTCTTTAAAATAATAATAATAATGACACTGGCTTACATGAAAATGAAACTTTTAAACAGTGTTCAGGTCCTGAGACCCGGTTTCCTTTCCACATGTTTCTGCCAGGTAGACTGCTTCTCACAGAGTCCCACATCTTGGTGCTAGAACCTCAAACAACCAAAACACCCTGCCTTTGGATGGTTAGGTATTGGTACACTTTTTCTGAAAACACAACTGGGATTTAAAAAAAAAACAAAAAAAAAACAAAAACAGTCCTAAAGAAACTAGACTAGACTAGACCAGTCATTTATGTCAAGAGTTTCAGAGTCCAAGCAGGAGGCAAACCTGAACGGCGGTGACTGGCTTCTCTGCTTCAGGTGCTTCCTCGGAAAACAAAGGTTCAAAATCATTCATGCTCTCCACGTCTTCCAGAGCCGGCTCCAGCTGCTCCAGGTCAGGGGTCTCAGAACAGAACAGAGCAGAATAAACAACACGGAACCTGTACCTTCAGCAACCCTGGCTCTATCAGTCAGTGCCATCAAAAAGAACTGGGATCGTGCCCAGTGTCCTAAAACCTTACATTAAAACAATGAAGAATTTTCTAGGCTATTACCACACACACACACACACACACACACACACACACACACACAAGAATACTGTGACTAAAAGCCTACAGGGGCAGGAGCTGTAGCCCAGTGGGTTAAGTTGCCACCTGAGACACTGGCGTTCCCTAGCAGTGACTGGGATCAAAGCATCTGCTGCTGGCTCGGCCCATGTACGGGAAACCTTGAGGGGAGTTCCTGGTTCCTGGCTTGAGCCTGGCTCAGGCTTAAGTGAATAAACAAACATTAAAAACAAAACAAAACAAAAAAAATAAGAAAACCACACAACAAAGCCAGGAATGGACTATTTCTTTGTTTGAAAAAAAAAAAATTATTTATTTATTTATTTGAAAAGTCAGCGAGCGTTACACAGAGAGGAAGAGACACACACACAGAGATCTTCCCATCCACTGGTTCATTCCCTAAATGGCTGCACCCGCCAGAGCTAGGCCAGGCTGAAGCCGTAAGTCAGGAGTTTCTTCCAGGTTACCCACATGGATGCAGCAGCCTAAGTACTTGGGTCATCTTCTGCTGCTTTCCCAGAAGCAATCCAGGAAGCTGGATTGGAAATGGTGCAGCCGGGTCTTGAACCAGTGCCCATACAGGATATGGGGCTTTACCTACTACACCACAACACTGACCCCTTTTTTAAATTAAAGATTTATTTATTTGAAAGGCAGAGTTATAGAAAGAGAGAGAGCGATCTTCCATTTGCTGGTCCACTCCCCAAATGGTTGCAATGGCCAAGGCTGGTCCAGGCCAAAGCCAGGAAACAGGAGTTTCATCCGGGTCTCCCATGTGGGTGCAGGGTCCAAGCACTTGGGCCATTTACCAACATTTTCCCAGGCACATTAGCAGGGAACTTCATCAGAAGTGTAGCAGCCAGAACTCGAGCCCATGTCCATATGGGATGCTGGCACTGCAGGCGGCAGCTTAACCCACACAACGCAGGCCCCAAGAATGGATTCTGCTTTCATTCCCTAGCTTCTTATTTATGCAAGACTTAATCAACTCCTCCCTTTCTGAAGCCTTCTGAGAGTGCCAGCTCCAAGCTGGGCTGGTGGAAAGTGTACTGCTACAGCAGTCACACCACCCACACAGCTCTGGGGAAAGATTGTGTGGCAACTGGTGCCCTACAAAGCAGCTAGATTATTGCAAAATTCAAGAAATCTCTTAATAAATATATGAGCCAGGAGCTGGCACTGTGATGTAGTTGGTAAAGCCACCACCTACAGGGCCAGCATCCCATATGGGTGCCAGTTCGAGACCTGGCTGCTCCACTTCCAATCCAGCTCTCTGCTGTGGCCTGGGAAAGCAATAGAAGATGGCCCAAGTCTTTGGGCATCTGCACCCTCCTGGGAGACCCAGAAGAAGCTCCTGGCTCTTGGCTTCAGATAAGCCCCGCTCTGGATTGACCCAGCTCTGGCTGTTGTGGTCATTTGCGGAGTGAACCAGTGGATGGAAGTCTTTTCTCTCTCTCTCTCTCTCCCCTTGCCTCTCTGTAACTCTGCCTTTCAAATAAACAAATCGATCTTTAAGAACTATTATTTAAAATAAATACATAAATATATGAGCCAACACCAATGAGCTTTACAGCTAATTCCTTAAATACCAGGTCCCCTCCCTGCGCTGGGGATGTGAGCAAATGCCCAGCGTGGCAGGACACTTCCTGTCTGTGGAGTCCTGCAGAACAGGACTCAAGGAGAGTGAGCCCACGTTGGGCCTAGACACGTTGGTACGCACCCCCAGTAGAGGGTCTGGGGCACTCGTTTTAATTTTAACCTGCACCCAAGCAATTACCTGGGCAGTCATCCTGGAAAACATCTTTAACCACCTGTCCTGCCACGTGAAAAGGCAGATGAGCCTCACCTTCGGACTCAAAGGCAGATGTGACAGGAAGAAAGATTCTACTGCAACCATAGGAGGCGGCTCTGACAGGGACAGCTCAGAGGAGGCTGTCTTAGGAGGTGGCCTCCTGGGAGGCTCAAGCAGACTCAGTGACCAGCAGTCAACAATCTGAGGGGACAATGACACTGACCGTGTGCCCAAGTCCCTCGGACTCTGTGAATGATGTATGTGACCAGCATGACCCACAGGATTTCTACACGCTTCTCTGGGACTGGTTCATATACACTGCAAATGTGAACTGGCATTCAAACTCCTTTGCAAATGAGGCGGTGCCCCTCACACCCTGGAAAGGTCAACACGGCATATAGGATGGGTGACATTCTCAATCTGTGTGGCACAGACTCTGCCACATCTAAGGGGACTTTCCTAGGCTCGAAAGTAAACCCCCCACACTCACACACTGGAAGGATCGACACGGCATACAGGATGGGTGACGTCCTCAACTCTGTGCAGCACAGACTCTGCCACATCTAAGGGGATTTTCCCAGGCTTGAAAGTAAACCCACATAAGGAACAGGAACATTTCTTCATCTGAGAGTGGAGGGCAGCAGGAGCCGGCTGGCTTATAAAGAGGTATCTGGGAAAGAAGGTGGATGACAGGACAAGTAGCTAACGGCCCATGCTGCTGACAAAGCAGGGAGAGCCATCTCCACCAGTGACCAATCAGAGGCAGCAGTACGCACACCTGCAGCCTGCACAGTCTGTTACAACTGCTCAGCTCCAAAATCTTTGCCTTAAGCTGCAATTCCACAAACCATGAGTCTGAGCATGAGAAGTGTAGAAAAGATCTAGCCCAGAGTCAGAGTAACATAAGAGATGAACAAAGACTTCAGAGTGGCAGCAATGCAGCAGAAGTGAATGAAAGGCTGTTTTGCCCAAGCAGGGGCAGCAAAGAGTGAGGACAGCAACAATGCCCCTGTTGCCTGCAGCCTGGGATCAGGAAGACTCCCAGCTCCCCTCACAAGAGAAGAGCCCTGCCACGGCAGTGCCTGTGCCTATTCTAACTTGGCACCAAGTCCTCAAGAAAGGACCTCCAGGGGGTCCCAGGAGAGGATGGGAAATGGATCCCCGAAGTTCCCTTCATCCTGGATATCCACAAGCCAGGAGGCAGGAAGCAGACAGGCTTGAGGCACATGGAGCAGCTCTGAGTGGCAACCAAGGACAAGTGAAAGGTCACAGGGGTAGAGCTGGGAATGGTCCACTCTGAGCAGCTTCTCCTGCAAGTGGGCCATGAACCCAGGGCATGTCGGGTGAAAACTGAACACTCTTTCCTTCTAAATTCATGCTCATTTGGCCCCTTCAAGAATTTAGTTGCTTTACTGGGTTGGAAACACATAGATGTCACCCGTATATAAAATAACTACAGATAGGAGCAGGTGTTTAGCCCAAGCTGAGATGTCTATGTCCCACATCAGAGTGTCCGGGTCCCACATCACCATGCCTGGGTTTGATCCCTGCCTCTGGCTCCTGACTCCAGCTTCCTGCCTGTGTAGACCCTGGGAGGCAGTAGTGACAGATCAAGTATTTGGGCTTCTGCTGCCCACATGGGAGATATAGATTGTGCTCCTGGCTCTTAGCTTCAGCCCTGGCCAAATTCCAGATGATGAGGGCATTTAAAGAGTAAACCAGAGAGTAAGAGTTATCTTCCTGTTTGCCTCTCAAGTAAAAAATAGTGTTAAATCAATCTTTTTTAAATTAAAAAATAACTACAAACAAAACCAGTGACTTACGAAATGGTAGGAGGTGAAGGCAAACACCGGGGTCCCTTCTATCTCCCCTTCCCCCACTCCCCATAAAGAAGCAGGAATCTTGACTTTCTTCCCTGGCAATCTCAGCAGCCATGGGCTGGTGCAAGTGACGTCACGGGACTGCCAAGGCAGGATCAGAAAAGGCCAGACGGCTTCCTCCCACCTTCATCTCTTGAAATACAGGTTCTCTGGCTGCTCTCTCAGAAAGCTGCCTCTTGGAAGCCAGCTGCCAGCTGTGAGAAGCCCAAGACAGCGGAAAGGCCCCACATAGATGCCTGGACCAGCTCCTCACTGAGTACAGCCTTCGAAGCCAGACTGAGAAGTGTAAAACCCTCCAGGCAACTCCAGTTCCCAACTGCTCCAAGTCTTCCCAGCCAATGCCCCAGGCATATGGAGCAGAGACCCCATCATACCCTAATTCCCTGACAATCGCCCATCCAACCTACAAGAACAGAAGGGTGGTGTCTCACATGCACCAGATGAGAGAAAGAGATGGCCCCACTGCCACTGGCAGTCCTGTGTCTTCAGCTTCCATGTGCACCTCCAAGCAGCTGTGTCAAACCTCGCCCAGCACTGTTCTCCCTTCCTAATTTCAACTCGGTGAGTCTTGGCACATCACCTCAGCTGCTGCAAAAGCCAAACTTCCTACACGTCGCCAGTCCAACGCCTTACTTTCCTGCCAGCCTCCTACTGTTGCATCTTTCCCCAGGGGTCAGCTAACCACACACACCACTGGAACTCTCACTTGTCTCCTCCCTCACTGCCCCTCTCTAATCTCGCTCCTTGGCTTTTCTCTACCCCACAACCCCTCCCCCACGCTCTCCTCAGCCAAGTCCTGGAGCACGACCCCTGCTGTCCCAGAGACTTTACAGACTTGGTGCTCATGGTCTTCCCAACCTGCTCAAGAGCACCACCACCCACTGGTACTGGAGTCCCAGCTGCACCCCCTCCAACTATGATTTCAGGCAAATCTCTTCGTTCTCCCAAGTCTCCGTCTCATCCGTAAAACGGGAGTGATGATGTGACCTGCACACTGAGCCATGAAAATTACCCAGGGCAACTCCTGCAGAAGTGCTGGGCCCAGGGTGCTCCACTCCTGAGCCCCCGGCCACTGTGGCTGCTGATTCAGTGGAGGCCCACAGCAGCCCCCTTCTGGATCCTAGGATCCTACTACACATTCTTACTCGTTGCCCCACCTTCCGCCTCACCCCTCTCCAACCCAACAGTCCTATCTGCCTCCAGTTATTTTCCCAAGATGAAGCCTTACCACTCTGCTCAGCGCACTCAGGAGGCTGGGATTCTCCGAGGGAGAAGCTGAAGCCTCCCCAAACCTTTCTCAAAAATCCAGGTGGACTTCCACTCCCATTCCTACCACCCCTGTAAGCTTTATTACAGCAAAGCAGGGTGCCACAGCACTGCCCCTCCCCACCACCGACTTTTTTAAGAACCCAGGAAGGAAGGCAGGAATTGTTTGTTAATCACCCCTGTGTCCCTGGCACTCTGTGCCCAACACTGAATGGCGTCCCCAGCCCTCAAACTCCCCCGAGTGCAGACCAAGAGAACTCTTGGCTTCAAAAGGCTTCCTGCACTGTGACAACACAGCACCACTCACCTGCCTCTGCAATGTATTCAAAACATCTCACTGTATCTCAGAAATGAGAGCGCTTCTTAGCTTCACTACAAACACGGAGACATCGTTCACTTACTCCAATCAAAAGAAATGGAGAGAGAGGCACCAGCCTCCAACAGGGACCAGACTTCTCCACACTGGCTGCAGTCCCCTTGGGCTCGCCAGGGTCCACATGTGCTGTGGTGCCAGGAACACGAACATGACTGCTCCTCTGGAAGTGAGCAGAATGAGTTTGCCAAAGCAATCAGAACAGACGCAGCACAGCTCCCTGGAACAGCCCGAGTGGCCAAGAACAAGCAGAAGCCAACTCTGATCCTGGCTGGCAGCGCAAGAGAACGTCCACACTGGGCCCGCTGTGTTTCCCGACAGACGACGATGCGCTCAGCTGTGCTCTCCCCACCCTCTCATGCGGCGCTTGTGACTGTGAAAAGCAGGCATCCTCAAGATTAAATTCTTCATGAAGGATGCTAACAAAACCTACTCTGTAACATCCTCACAGAATAATTCCCGAACCAGGGCTAGAATGAATGGGTCCATAGTAAAAAAAAAAAAAAAAAATAGATTTTAGGAAACACTGCAAATGAAAAAAAACCGCCATGGTATTAACCCGGCTCAGCCATTACGCCCCACAGAATCTCAGCATGAACCTTGGGCCACACCCATCTGCTCCCCTCACTCTAAGGGAGTTTCGTTGCTGGAAAACACTGACAATACTTTCTGCACGGCAGACCTGGCTAGCGAGTGTCACCCACAGGTGCACCCCATGAATGTGACCGTTACTGACTGCTCACCCACAGTCACCCTCAGCAGAAGCTGACTCACCGTTAAAGCTTTACATAGAGGCTGAAGCCCGACGTTTCAGAAGCTCCCCGAGCCCAGGATACCTGCACACACGTGCCCAGAGCACAACAGGAGCTTAGCAAACGTGTGAGTGCTGGAGAAGTGGCTGAACACAGCAGGGCACAAACGCAGGGGAATGCACAAAGAAAGGGGAAACTGGCTCTCCACTGCTGAGGAGCCACACCGCACAGGTGCAGGTCTTCCTGTGGCACTGGAAAGCCCTCATCTGCATGAGGCTTGGTGGTTTCTCTCCAGCATAAACGAGCTCAGGCCCTATGGACAGGTGAAGAATGACAGAAACGCAAATGTGGATGAACACGGACAAAGAGAACACGGGTCCAGATTCCAGTAAACCCCAGCTCAAATCTGGAACACAGACCTGCAGCCTGGGTGATGCCAACCAGCAAAGGCACACAGCCCAGCCAGGGCTGACCTGGGATGCTAGGGGAGGGGGCTCGAGTAAAGGTCCCTTCTCCCCAGGGTCCCACACAATGAAGCGCGTGGATTCGCTGCCTGTTCCTTCCTCACACAATCCACAGCCTGCGGGCACGAGGCAGAGAACGCTCGGCTGAGCACAGGAACCGGCACTGAGCTTCCGGCAACAAGCTGGAGCTGCAGAAGCTGGCTTCACGCCGGGCCGGAGACAGTTCTGACATCCTCGCTCTACACTCAGCACCACGGGCACTGACTTGGATCTTTCCACACTGTGGTTTCCTTCTAAAATCACAGGCAGTTAGGAGTTCAAAGAGTTGATTAAAAATCCAGGGGCCAGGGCTGTGGCATGGAGAACAAAGCCACTGCCTGCAGTGCCAGTTCAAGTCCCAGCTGCTCCTCTTCCAATCCAGCTCTCTGCTGTGGCCTGGGAAAGCAGTGGAAGATGGCCCAAGTCCTTGGGCTCCTGCATCCACGTGGGAGACCTGGAAGAAGCTCCTGGCTCCTGGTTTTGAATCAGCAGAACTCTGGCCATTGCAGTCATCTGGGGATTGAACCAAAGGATGGAAGACCTCTCTCTCTCTGCCCCTGCCTCTCTGTAACTCTGCCTTTCAAATAAATGAATAAATCTTAAAAAAAAAAAATCCAGGGCTGGAGCTGTGGCGCAGCAGGTTAAAGCCCCAGCCTGCAGCGCCGGCATCCCACACTGGCGCTGGATGGAACCCAGCTCCATCTCCAATCCAGCTCCATGCGAAGGAGCCTGAGAAAGCAGTTGAGAATGGCCCAAGTCCTTGGGCCCTTGCACCCATGTGGAAGACCCGAAGAAGCTCCTAGCTCCTGGGTCCTGGCTCTGGATCATCTCAGCTCAGCTCCAGCTACTGCAGCCATTTAAGGAGTGAACAAGCAGATGGAAGACCTCTCCATCTCTCTCCCTCTCTTTCTTTGTCTCTACCTCCCTCTGTAACTCTCTCAAATAAAACAAATTTTAAAAAAACAAAAATACAAGCTGGTCTGGTGAATTCTGCCTCAAATGTATCACAGAGCAATAAATAAACTCCTCTGTTTTAGAATTCTAGGAATAACGAATTCATGAAACAACATATAGAATTCTTACATTGTGTTCCAGTTCTAAAGACAGGGGACCCCATCAAGGACTTCTGGGCTGAGAATGGCCCAAAGGCCCCCTTCACCAGGCAGGCCTCCAGGTGTCAAGGTCTGGACTACCCCTGGGGCCTACCTCAGCTCTGCCGCCTGTCCCTTTGGTGGCATCACTCACAGACTACTGGCAGGGACAGAGAGGGAAAAAAGAGACAGTAAGGGGCTGGCGCTGCGGCATAGTGGCAGATAAAGCCACCGCCTGCAGTGCCAGCATCCCATATGGGCACCAGTTCAAGTCCCAGCTGCTCCACTTCCCATCCAGCTCTCTGCTATGGCCTGGGAAAGCAGCAGAAGATGGCCCAAGCCCCTGCACCCACATGGGAGACCCAGAAGAAGCTCCTGGCTCCTGGCTTTGTATCAGGAAGTGAGTGATCAACCAGAATTCATGGAATAATGCATCAGAGGAAGTGACTGGGTGTGCCTAACTGGCAAAGGACCACCACAACAGTGGGTTCTGGTCAAGGCAGCACCACACAGGGGTCTGAGAATGCTCTTCTTATTCTACACACACATACTATCTCTCCCAGGGGGCTAGAAGGCTACAGTGTGAAATGCCTGTGGCCAGAACTTCACTTGGTACAAGGTCAATGTCACTGCTGTCCTTACCCACGTGCCTGCAGACATTACTCATCATTTGTTGCAACCCCTATGACACTCAGCCTTCTCAACACACTCTCTCCCCTCAGGGAAGGCTTCTCTCTAAATGACCCTGTAGGTAGGACCTCCCGCCCAAGACCCTCGGTCACCTCTGGTTTGCTGTCCACCACATCCACCTCGAGGTTCACTTCTGCTTGAAGGATCTTCTGCTTAGCTTGCTCCACTGCCACACTGAGCTTCTGAATGTAGGACTGCAGCTCTTCCGGGGAGTCCATGTTCAGCTCGATGAGAGCTTTGTGAAACTGATCCATCTGACCATCCTCGAGAAGTTCCTGAAATCAGAACAGCCACAAATCATGCTCAAGACAAACAGGAAGCAAGAAGGTGCTTAAAAGCCAAACAGGGTAGAACTGCAGCAGGAGGGGCTCCCGGAGCCCCCAGCTGCCCTCACTGACTTACACCTGCAGCTCCTTCTCTCCAACTATCTCCACACTACAGCACCTCATGGTCTCAGCACCCTCTGACTAGACCAAACTGCTACTGGGTGACAGACGTCAGAAATGCTGTTACCTTCAGGGGGAGTCAGGTGGGGAAAGTTACAACGGAGGAAGCAGAGAAGCTTCTGGAATGCTGCCAGCGTTTTTTTTCTTACTCCCAGATGTATTTATTTGACAGGCAGAGTTACATAGAGAGAGGTCTTCTATCCACTGGCTCACTCCCCAGATGACCACAACATCTGGGGCTAGGCCAATTCAAAGCCAGAAGCTTCTTCCAGGTCTCCCACGTGGGTATAAGGGCCCAAGCACTTGGGCCATGTTCCACTGCTTTCCCAGGCCATTTGAAGAAAACTGGATCAGAAGTGGAGCAGCTGGGACTTGAACCAGCACCCATATGGGATGCCAGCACTGCAGGTGGAGGCTTAACCTACTACACCTCAGAGCCGGCCCCAGTGCTGTGTTTCTTCAGCTGATGCACACACACAGGTGTGTCTGAGTTTGTGAAAATGCATCAAGTCTACACTTAAAATCTGTGCATTTTGCATCAGCTGTGTTACACTCAAAATAAAAGTTTAAAAAAATCAATGAAATGTTAAGACAAAAGTAAGTCCATAAAGTGGAGCCCTACCCCTCTCTCAGCGGCTAAAGTGTGCTCTACACTGATGACCCTGGGAACGCTTGTGGACATCAAAGGAGCCGCCGATGGCCAGTGCTGTTACGGGAGAGCGTGTGGGAAGGCGCCGTCACCTGCACATACAGCAGTCTGTCCAGCCGCTCCTGATCCAGCTGCAGCTTCTCCTCCCGCCGCCGCGCGTTCAGCTCCTGCAGCCTGCGCAGCTGCTGCTGCCGCCGCTCCTGCTTCTCCTCAGAGGTCAGGGTGCTGCCCAGCAGCTTGCTGGAGAACGGTAGCTGCATCTTGTGGACGTTGTTCTCGTAGTAATCAGGACACCGCCATTTCTGCAACTCTTCAAACAACAGTTCTGCAGGTTATGGCATGGAAACACTAAGACCACAGAAACAATTCTGCAGGTTATGGCATGGAAACACTAAGACCACAGAAACAAACAAGCCAGAACCAGAGCTCCAGGCACCGGTGAGACGTAGAACGCTCCCTCCCCCCAGCCTCTGGTCCACTCGGTCAGCTAAATGCAGCCCTCGAGCCAGCAGGCCTGCCCTGCAGTAAGAGCTGAATCCGCTTCCTCGGGCTGAAATGGCACAAGGAAGCCTGGCCCACCAGAAACGAAGGAAGAGCGACAGAACTGAGGGGGATCTGCTCAAACATCAGCCCGACTGCCTCGTGAGTTCCTGACTAACAGCGTTGGAGGAGTCTCCACCGGATGTAGACCTAACACAGGGGCAGGTCCGGCGTGAACGGGGAAGGACAAAGGAGTCTGTGCAGTTCCCACGTTTCTACATTCCACTTGCAGAGAGAGTCCTGATGCTAAGTAGACTGAAAAAAACAAAGTCACAGTTCCTCCCCTCTCTAAAGCTACCCCTGAGAAAAACTGGAGATACAATAAAACACAACACAAATTAAAACAAAACACCAAAAAAAGTTCAAACAACCTAAAAGGCAGAAGAAACAGAACAGAGACAACCACACACACGTGTGCACACACATGCATATATATACACACACACTAAAAAAAAAACGGTGGACCTAAATCAAACATGAATAAACTGTAAGTGGTCTTAACATACTCATTAAATGACTGACATCAGGGATTTTTAAAAGGTGACCCAACTATTAAGAAACTCACTTTGAATGTAATAAATTAGGTGGAGAAAAGTAAAAGGATGGAAGACATACCAAGCAAACACTAATCAAAAGAAAGCTGGGGCAGGTGTTGTGGCCCAGCAAGTTAAGCTGACCACTGGGATACCAACATCCCACACTGGAGTGCTGGTTTGAGTCCTGGCTCCTCCACTTTCAATCCAGCCTCTTGCCAATGCAAGCTGGCAGACAGCAGATGAAGGCTCAAGTACTGGGGTCTCTGCCAAGTATGTGAGAGACTCAAACAGAGTTCCAGGCTCCTGCGTTCAGCCTGGCCCAGTTCTGGCTGCTAGGAGCGTTAGGGAGTAGACCAGTGGGTGAAGATACCTAGTGCGTGCTCTCTTTCTCCATGGTTTTGCTTTTCAAAAAAAAAAAAAAAAAAAAAAAAAAAACACACACACACACACACACACGGAGCAGTTATTAATATAAGGACTATTTGCTAAGCAGACCTAAGAATCCTAAATATGCACCTAACAAATGGGATTCAGATTCATGAAAGCAAAACTAACAGAATTGCAAGGAAAACAAGGAAAATCCATAATTATAGCCAGAGAACCAAACAAAACCATTGACCAGTCAACTTAAATGGCAGAACAGAATGCTCCACCAAGCAAGGGTAGAATACGTATTCTTTTCAAAGGCATACAGATGCCAGCGCCGCTGCTCACTAGGCTAATCCTCCACCTTGCGGCGCTGGCACCCTGGGTTCTAGTCCCGGTTGGGGCGTTGGATTCTGTCCCGGTTGCCCCTCTTCCAGGCCAGCTCTCTGCTGTGGCCAGGGAAGTGCAGTGGAGGATGGCCTAAGTACTTGGGCCCTGCACCCCATGGGAGACCAGGAGAAGCACCTGGCTCCTGCCATCGGATCAGCGTGGTGCGCTGGCCGCAGCGGCCATTGCAGGGTGAACCAACGGCAAAGGAAGACCTTTCTCTCTGTCTCTCTCACTGTCCACTCTGTCTGTCCAAAACAAAAAAAAAAAAAAAAAAAAAAGCATACAGAACTTTTGCCAAAGTATTCCATATCCTGAGTCATCAAACAAACAAATTTAACTGATATCAGATAAATGGAATTTAAAGCAATTAAAGCATAAATAAATCACGGAAACATAATGGAAAAATCTCCAAACATTTTGACATAAAGGAACGTACTTCTTTTTCTTTCTCTTTTAATTCTGAAAGGCAGACAGAGCCCTCCCATACTCTGGTTCGGTCCCCGGATGTCCCAGCAGGGGTGGAGAACATCCATCCCTCAGGTAGAAGGTTCATGAAGTCACGTGGTCTGGCTTTGTCAAAACAGCTGCAGGCAGAACTCAAAATTCAATAAACCCATAGCAGGCTAATTTCTTTTTTAAATTTATTTATTTGGGGCCGGCGCTGTGGCATAGTGGGTAAAGCCGCCGCCTGCAGTGCCAGCATCCTATATGGGATGCTGTTTTTCAAGTCCCTGCTGCTCCACTTCTGATCCAGCTCTCTGATATAGCCTGGGAAAGAAGTAGAAGATGGCCCAAGTCCTTGGACCCCTGCACCTCATGGGAGACCTGGAAGAAGCTCCGAGCTCCTGGCTTGACTGGTACAGCTCTGGCCATTGCAGCCATTTGGGGAGTGAACCAGTGGATGGAAGACCTTTCTCTCTGTCTCTCCCTCTCTCTGTCTATAACCCTACTGCTCAGATAAATAAATAAAATCTTAAATAATATATATGTGTGTATATATATACACACACACACACACATATATATATACATATATATATATATATATTTGTTTGAAGCTGAGAGTTACAGAGAGAGATCTTCCTTCTGCTAGTTCACTCCACAGAGGGCCAAAATGGCCAGGCCAAAGATAGGAGCTCATTGGGGTCTCCCATGTGGGTAGCAGAGGCCCAAACATTTGGACAATCCCCTGCTGCTTTTCTCAGGCTATTCGTGGGGAGTTGGATAGGAAGTGAAACAACAGGGACATGAACTGGTGCCCATATGGGATGGCAGTATCGAAGGTGGTGGCTTTACCTACTATAGCACAACACCGGCCCGACAGCAGGCTAATTTTCCTTTTTTTTTTTTTTTTTTTTTAGATTTTTATTTATTTGAAAGGTAGAGTCACAGACAGATAGGAAGAGACAGAGAAAAAGGTTTTCCATCCACTGATTCACTCCCCAAATGGCCACAATGGCCAGAGCTGAACCAATCTAAAGCCAGGAGCCAGGAGCTTCTTCTGGGTCTCCCACATGGGTGCAGGGGCCCAAGGATTTGGGCCATCTTCCACTGCTTTCCCAGGCCATAACCAGAGAACTGGATCAGAACTGGCACTCATATGGGATACTGGCACTGCACACAGAAGCCCAGCCCACTACATCATTGCACCAGCCCTATAATTGGCTAATTTCTAAGTTGATAATTTTGTACAGCCCACGAATGATGCTATAAATATCCAAATGGTCCTTGGCAGAAAAAAGTTCCCTGCACCTGCCTTAAGGAGCTGGAGTTAGCTCAAGCCAAAGCCAAAGCCAGGAGCCAGGAGCCAGGAATTCAATCCAGGTTTCCCACTTGGGTGGCAGAGACCTAAGTACTTGAGCCATCACCTGCTGCTTTCTAGGACACACATTAGCAGGAACCTGGAGTCAGCAGTAGCACTGGGATTCAGGTTTTCCAATACAGGGTATTGACATCCCAAGAGACACCTTTTTTTTTTTTTTTTTTTTTGACAGGCAGAGTGGACAGTGAGAGAGAGAGACAGAGAGAAAGGTCTTCCTTTGCCGTTGGTTCACCCTCCAATGGCCGCTGCGGCCGGTGTGCTGCGGCCGGTGTACCGCGCTGATCCGAACACAGGAGCCAGGTGCCTCTCCTGGTCTCCCACGCGGGTGCAGGGCCCAAGCACTTGGGCCATCCTCCACTGCACTCCCTGGCCACAGCAGAGAGCTGGCCTGGAAGAGGGGCAACCGGGACAGAATCCGGCGCCCCGACCGGGACTAGAACCTGGTGTGCCGGCGCCGCAAGGCAGAGGATTAGCCTAGTGAGCCGCGGCGCCGGCCCCAAGAGACATCTTAACCACTACACCAAACACCCATGCAAAAGCAATACATTTCTAAGTTATCAATTGCTGAAGGAAGTCCTTAAAAACAACAAAATATATCTCCGGGCTGGCGCTGTGGTATAGCAGGTAAAGCCACCGCCTGCAATGCCAGCCTCCTATATGGGCACCGGTTCAAATCCCGGCTGCTCCACTTCTGATCCAGCTCTCTGCTATGGCCTGGGAAAGCAGTAGAAGATGGCCGAAGTCCTTGGGCCCCTGCACCTGCTTGGGAGATCTGGAGGAAGTGCCTGGCTCCTGGCTTTGAATCAGTGCAGCTCCAGCCGTTGTGCCAATTGGAGAGTGAACCAGTGGATGGAAGACCTCTCTCTCTGCCTCTCCTTCTCTCTCTGTGTAACTCTTTCAAATAAATAAATAAATCTTTAACAACAACAACTCACAAAGCTATACCAGAAAAAAAAGTCAAGTTTTTAAAAAGTCAATAGCAGACGGGCCCAGCCCTGTGGCATAGCGGGTAAAATTGCCGCCTTCCCGTGTGGGTGCCAGTTCAAGTCCCGGCTGCTCCACTCCCATCCAGCTCTCTGCTATGGCCTGGGAAAGCAGTAGAGGATGGCCCAAGTCCTTGGGCCCCTGCACCCACATGGGAGACCTGGAAGAAGCTCCTGGCTTTGCATCGGCACAGCTCCAGCCATTGCAGCCAATTGGAGAGTGAACCAGTGGATGGAAGACCTCTCTCTCTCTCTGTCTCTGTCTCTGTCTCTCTCTCTCTCTCTGTGTGTAACTCTGAGTTTCAAATAAATAAATAAATGTTTAAAAAAAAAAAAGGCAACAGCAGAGTACCTGGATGTGGGGAGCAACTGGGAGCAACTCGGACTAGACTAAGTTACTGGAATTAAGACTTATTCTATGCATCTGCTCTCCCACAATATGGCGCTGGGAGAGGAGGAAACAGCTTCTACACAGCTGCCTCCAATTCAACCAATAAACAGCAGGACCTGCTCCTGATTGGAGGAGAGCAGCGTACTCGGCGTGTGGGTAGCAGAGTTGGGATTGGTGGAAGAGGACTATAAAGGAGGAGAGAGACAACATGCACCAGGAACATCTAAGAGGAACATCTATCTGAAGGAACACCTGTGCAGCCCCCGAGAGAGCCGGCCGGCGGTGTGCCGCTCCCCCACGGAAGTGGGGAAAGTGGCTAGGGGGAACCGCCCTTCCACGGAGGTGGAAGGGACGGTAGCCAACCCGGGGAGGGCCGAGCAGACAAAAGAACAGCGCAGGGTCCTGTGTCGTTCCTCCACAAAGAGGGGGAGCGACACCTGGAGAATAGAGAAGCAAGGCCGGCGCTGCGGCTCAATAGGCTAATCCTCCACCTTGCGGTGCCGGCAAACCGGGTTCTAGTCCCGGTTGGGGCGCCAGATTCTGTCCCGGTTGCCCCTCTTCCAGGCCAGCCCTCTGCTATGGCCCAGGAGTGCAGTGGAGGATGGCCCAAGTACTTGGGCCCTGCACCCACATGGGAGACCAGGAGAGGCACCTGGCTCCTGGCTTCGGATCAGCGCGATATGCCGGCCGCAGCACGCTGGCTGCGGCGGCCATTGGAGGGTGAACCAACGGTAAAAGGAAGACCTTTCTCTCTGTCTCTATCTCTCACTGTCCACTCTGCCTGTCAAAAAAAAATAATAATAAAATAAATTAATTAATTAAAAAAAAAAAAGAATAGAGAAGCAGGTGCAGGGAGAGCTGGGTGCTTCAGCTGTGTCTCCAAGTGAACACCTAACTCCCTGGCCCTAATGCCATCAATGCTTTCTCTCCAAATCTGCCTCCCCAACTTCTCTGTACCCCAGGAACAACAGGTGCTTAATAAATGCCTTCTGGAGTCAAATAAAGTTTTCACCACAATTTATAAAAAGGTGGAGAGAGGGCCTCTTCCCTTTGGGAGCTCACTGCTGGTCAGCTGATGTCAGCCCCTTCAGTGCCAACCAGAGACTCTGTGGAACCCAAAGGAAGTCACAGTGGTACTGTCTATGCCCCTTCGGGTTTATGTCAACTATCTGAATTTATTCTATTTTCACATTGGTGTGACAAATTAAATTGAAGTAAAATACAACCAAAAGTTTAAGATAAGCTTAAAAGACAGAGATGCATTTCTGAAGCACAAATTCTATTCTAAAGGTGGTTTTCAAACTTAAGCCATTTGGAATCCAGCATGTCTGCTCCCTCTTCAAAACCTTCACCTTCTGGAGAAAAGTTGAACGTTGTGCAATTTCAAGAGCTGCCTTAGAGGTAAAAGCTACTGTTTGTGAAGGAAATCGACTTCTGCAAGTTCACTGAACAGCTTAAGAAAGTAAATACCAGAAAGGGGAAAGGCTGCTAGTAAGAGCAAAAACAAAAAAAAACAAACAAACAAACAAAAAAACAAAACAAAAAAAAAAAAAACAAAACAAAGTAAGCAAGGGTCAACGTGGCGACATTCAAGGAAGAGCCCAGGGAGACAGAGCACACTGACGCTGCAGCCGTGTCCTCCGCACTACCTTCCACGTAGTCCTCGGCGATGTAGCTGTGCTCCTGCAGGATCTCCTCCATGCGGCTCAGGGTGATGGCTGCCAGGTGCCCGGGGTACTTGAGCTGGAGGAGACGCTGGAGGTAGCCAGCTGCCTGGCTTCCTCCAAGATTGATGCGCTTGCAGTTTTTAGCATCTAACCTACAGTCAGGCAGTAGAAAACAGCACTTATATTTTTGTGCAGCATCTTAGCAGAAACAGGATAAGTTATCAGACAAACAGCCCAGCAGGGGGAACATAAACCCTTCCAGCTGGAAGGGACTCTGAAGTTGCCTTGGTCCAAGCCCTCACTCAAAGCAGGAATTCCTTGTCCGTTACCAGACAGACACAGACTACCTACCATCAGGAGATGAGAGTCCATGGGAGGAATACATGCCCTGTGCCAGGCCTTTATTTCATGCGTTTCTCAGGCTCTGGTCCTAGGACCAAGTATCTTAGAATCAGCTGGGGAAAATGTTAAAGGAGCCAATTCCCAGGATTCGTTTGCTTGGATGCATATTTCAGCAATCTCCCACCTGCCCTGGTCCATGCCAGCATTTGAAAATTTCTGCCCTCGACCCTCCACTGCCGCTGAAGGAAACACAATAGTAGCTACACACACGCTGGCTTGCTGGCATCCAAGGGTCTGACCCCTTTCACAGGAACTGAAGCACAGAGCCACCGCAACTTACCTTCTTAATGCGAGAAGGTAAGAACAGCCGAGCACCAGGTGCTCAGTGCAAGGTACTGAAACGCCACTGCCGCACCACATCTCACCAGCAGATGTCAGCACAGAACGGGACATCCGCCAATCTGATCAGGTCTTGGCCCCCAGCAAAAATAATTCCCTCTCAATATAACAAAGATAACACGCTCGTTTTCGTGTTGCACATCTGCTTACCCAAAATGGAGAATCCATATTTCCTAAGTCCTTGGTAATGCCTAAGAATTACTACTGTCTTCACAGATTTTCATGGAAACTTCAGGAAAAAAAGCCCAGCATAGATCTTAAATTCAACAGCATATTTTTTGACTTAAATATTCAGACTGCTTTACAGTTCACAAAGTAGCCTCACCTCCATTCTCAATTCAACCCTGAGAAATTCGTTTATCCCAATCCTATATGGCAGGAAATTAAGAAACCGAGAAAACAAAAACGAAAAAAAAAGGGAAGAAAGGAAGGAAGGAAGGAAGGAAGGAAGGAAGGAAGGAAGGAAGGAAGGAAGGAAGGAAGGAAGGAAGGAACCGAGGACCTCCTTATTCTCAGCAGGGCTGCAAAGCCACACACTGAGCTCTCTGCCTATGACGCACATCTCTCTGTGCAGGCCAAAAAGCTTCTCAGGAGGGCACGATGCTGCCTTGTCTCTCATCACAACGAAAGCCCAACTACAAAGTGGGCACAGATTTTAAATAAGAAGCAAACTGCACGTGCATTTATTCAATTCAGAAATATTTACAGAGGCTGGCGCTGTGGCATAGTGGGTAAAGTCGCCACCTGAAATCCCGACCAGCAGGCAATATGAGCACCAGTTCACATCCTGGCTGCTCCACTTCCGATCCAGCTCCCTGCTGCTGGCCTGTGAAAAGAGCAGAAGATGGCCCACAGGTTTGGGCCCCTGCCACCCATGTGGGAGACCCAGATGAAGCTCCTGACTCCTCGTTTCAGCACTGCCCACAGCTGGCTGTTACAGCCATTTGGGGAGTGAACCAGTAGATGGAAGTGCTCTCTGTCTCTCCCTCTTTCCCTCTGTAACTCTGACTTTCAAAATAAATAAATCTTCTTTTTTTTAAAGAAATATTTCTAAGTGTCTACTATGAGCCCAACCCTGTACCTTAAAAGAAAGGCCTAAATGACAGAAATTAAAGAGATTTAAATCTTTTAAAAAAAAATCTTAAAAAGAAGAGTGATTCTGGAACACAAAGATGCTCCAAATAAAATGTTTTCCGATTATTTATTCAAAATATCTTGTTGAGTGCCTACTACCGGTAGCTAATATGTCAGGTATCTCCCCATAAACGAGAATTACAAAGCGGCAGAATTACAGAGGTTGACCTAAGAGGCCCAAGTCCCTCAGGAGGTCACAGAGCACAGGTGAAGGACTCGCCCCCACTCCCACAGTCGGGCTGGTGAAAGCTAAGCCCAGACACTCAGCTCACAGTCTCCTCCTCTTTCCGCTCTGTCCTCAAAGTAGGCAATAAACAGACGTTTCTCGACCACTTCTCGAAACGGCGATCAAACGCCCCAGGTGCAACTCACCTGCCATCCAGGATGGGTAAGATATGCGTGCACTGGTATCCGGAGGAAATGATGAGCCCACTGGAAACGGCCTTCTTCGGCATGTTGTGGTAGAAACTGAAGAGGCTGTCTATGCCGTAGGCGACCTTGGGGATACCGTAGCACTCGAAAAGCAGCTCAGACATCATCTGTCGCGAGTACAGGGGGTTGCACACGGCTTCTGTCAAAACTATGGGGTGATCCACACAGCCCTGTTTTGAAAGAAAGGACAAGCGAGTGAGTGTAAGGCATGGAGGAACCCCAGCTCCTTACTGCACAGCTCAATTTGCTTTTGGTCTCTCATAAAAAACCTGACCACGAGCAGCGGTGAAACACTCATCACCTCCACTAGAGGGCGTTGTGGAAAACGTGAGATCAAGTCCCGTCCAAACTGTGAGCCAAGAGTGACGGCTCCACCTGCAGAACAGCTCCGAAACCCAGCTGCTTCTGATGCGGCCCTCTGCCACCTCCCACAGACCCGTCACCATTCAACAGCGTCCCGACCCGTCCCCCGGGTTCCACCGTGGGCCCCCAGCCCCTTCTCATGAACGCCCCTCCGCTGCTCCACGTCGGCAATGGCTCCCGCCTACAAAGGGTGCAACCGGCCCCTCACCGCCTCTCTGACCCCCTCTTCCCGGTGCTCTCCCCTCAATCTGCCTGCCCTGCATCCAGGCTTAGGGCACACGGCCGCCTCGGGACCTTTTCCCTCTGACTGGACTATTTTCCCGCCAATATTCATAGAGCTCCATCCCTCAATCACCTCCCCTCCTGCAAGTCCTTGCTCAAACATCACCTCCTCCCCGAGTTCCACTGAACAAATCTAACCCCTCCCTCTCCTGTACGGTGGCGGAATCTACCGTTTAACCCTATCGCTTGCCCTTTTTCATACTAGCTCCACGAAGTTTTGCGTGATGCACAGAAGTACTCCAAGTACCCACGCATTGCTAATAAGTGAGTTAATCCACAAACAAGCACGTATGCCCGGATGCGCGCTCACTGTTCTCTGCCCTGGGCCCAGGACAGAGCGAACACACAGCAGGTGCTCGGCTGACGGACTGACGACGATCAGAGCCCGCCCCGCGCGCCGCCCGCCCCGCACCTGTGAGGAGACGCCCAGGTGCTGGAAGCTGTAGTCTAGCAGCAGCTCCTGCAGCTCCAGGTTGACCGGCACGTTGCGGTCGAAGGGCGAGCGCAGCATCCAGCGCAGCGGCTCCAGGCTGCCCAGCGCGTTGCCTACCTGCGGACCCGCCCCGCCGCGCGCCCCGCCACGCCCGCGGGCGCACACGGCGCGGAACTGCAGGCGCGGCTCGGGGCCCGGGTCCGGCCCGGGGCACGCCCAGCCGGCGCGGGCTTGGAACGACCCGTTGTCCAGCACCAACGGCACCGGCTGCGGCCCGTGAGCCACCGGGCCGGCCTCCAGCACCGGATCCGGGGCCGCACGGGCATCGCGGAAGAGGTACACGTTCGCCGCCATGTTGGAGCGCCCTCGGCCCGGCCTTTCGCAGCAGCGTCAGCCCAGGCGCCGCGAAGCCCCGCCCCCACGTAACGCCAGGACGCCGTCTCCTCCCGCAAAACCCCGACAACCGCTTCGCCTGCCTCGCGCCTGCTGGGCTAGGCGGCTTTGGACTAGAACCGGTGCCGAATTCCTGCTGTTGCTTAACCTCGGCCCCAGCACCTTATGAATGACCGTGCTCCTTGGCTCCAGCCGGAAGCCTGAACCAAGAGGCCCCGCCCCCGTCAGGAACTCGCCAGGCCCCGCCCCTTCCCAGCCTCGAGACCCGTTCTCATTGGTCGGGGAAGCCCCGCCTCTCCGCCTAGCCACGCCCTCTTGCGTGAGTGACGCCACCTGGGAATTCCCTCCTCCCCTCTGCCTGTGGGTTCTGCGCCGGTGCGACCTTGGTGGTGGAAGACGCTTCGCTCTGAAGCTTGCCTCGGGTTGTCAAGGAGCCAGACCCGAGGGTACGGGCGGTGTTCGATTTCTCGACCTTGGAGCCCGCTAGGGATGTGCGTTCGCTCTGTAAAAATTCACCCGGCCCACCGCTTCGTGATCTGTGCACTTTTCAGCACGTGTATTTTATAACACAAAGCCAAATCCCAGTTGTTAGGTGCATATTTAGAATTCTTAGGTCTTCTTAGCAAATTGCCCTTTTAGCATTATGTAATGTCCTGCTTTATTCCTGGCACTTTTTTTTTTTGCTTTGAAGTCCACTTAAATATTAATATAGCCACTCCAGGTTTTTGTGTTTTTTTGAAAAGCAAAGCCACAGAGAAAGAGCAGCAGTAGTTATCGTCCACCCTCTGTTTCACTCCCTAAGGTCCCTAGCAGCCAGGCTGGGCCAGGCTGAATCCAGGAGCCCAGAACTTTGAGTCTCTCATGTGTGAGGCAGGAACCCAAGCACTGAGGCCAACCTCTGCTGCTTTCCCAGGTGCATCAGCAAGACGCTGGATCAGAAGTGGAGCAGCCAGGACTCAACCCGCAGTCATATGGGATGCCGGCTTCACAGGTGGCGGCTTAACCCACTATGCCACAATGCTAGCCCCGTAAGCTACAGACACACATAAAGAATCAAGAAGTTCTACAGGCTTTGTCAAGACAAAGGGCAGTCTGTAGCCCCTTCCACCTTGTTCCTTTTCCCAGAAGCAACCACTTCCAATTCCTGCGCTTGACCATTTTAGTATTTATTCCCATGACTCCACATGACATGCTTGTATGCTGTTGGCTTCCTTCCCTGGTGTTAGGCCATATTTGTTGACTTCCCACTGAAGAAGATGAGGTTTTGGTCCCTTTGTGTGCTCGCTCTGCTTTGTCTCTCTCCTCTCTGTATCTCTGCCTTTCAAATAAATAAGTTGTTAAAAATAAATAAATGATGTGTATACACACTTATATAACAAAAAAATCTTAAAATATGGGCAAAGACTTATTAAGGAAAAGCAAACAAAAGGAAGAAGAGCAAGTCCATTTTAATATTAAAGAAAGTACATTAAGCTTTCCCTACTGTGCTTGTGAATTAGCCCATTTCTCCTCACTTCCTGTATCTGGAATATGTGTTGATAGAATCTAAATTCAGAATTTCCACCAGGGTTTTTCCTTTCCTTTATCCCTGATACTGCTTTTTTGCTTTAAGGGTGAAGCGGCCTAAAACTGCTGCAACTTAACTTTCTTCTGATTAGTATTACCTGGCATACCTGTTTGGTTTTTTGTTGTTTTTTTTTTTTTCTTTTCTCTCGGACCTTTATCTATCTGTTGAAGTCCTATACCTTGCAAACAGCCCAGCTGTGATCCCAGGTAAACTGACAAGGCCCCAAACGGAGAAATGGGCCGCAGGGTCTGGGAGATCAGACCTTTAAGAGTTTCACAAAGGCTCAGACAGCTTTGAGAGTTCCAGGCTCCTTCCCCTTACCTGGGTTCACTCACCCTTAGATTTTTCTTGGCTTGGGAAAACAGAGCTCAGTCAAGGTCACCATTTTTGTTGAGGGTCTTTTGGACTCTCCGCTAAAATGGAGTCTTTCGGGCTTGAGGCTCAGGTGGAATGATATTGTTCTCATTTAGTTCTCTAAGACCCATCCCAAGGTCCCTGTATCGCATGCCTTGGAGCCCACCCCCCTCCCTGTTCCCTGGGCACCCCCAGCTGCCATGCACACCAGCCCATTGACTTCTTACCGTAAATTCTTGTAGCTCTGCCTGAGGGTTTTCTCTGGCCACAGGAATATACTGGGGGCGGAGACAAGGGGGCCCAGGGCAGGCTGGAAGTGCCGGGTAGTGAGCACCCACATGGGCAGGCCTTGTGGATACTGAAGCATGGGCGCCCCAGCTCCCTTGCCCCTCAGATGAGCTCACTCTGAAACCTCCGGAAGGCCTCCGGTGGCTGGAACAAGTACCCTCAGGAGCCTGCCCCCCTGGTCTGCTGGACTGCACGTCTTTATTGCCCTCTGCAGAGTACAGGCTCCAGCAGAGTTGTTTGCCAGTCCTGATCTCACTCTGAAAAGTCTGGACATAGGCTTCTCCCCTCCCAGATTTGGGGGGAAAAAAATCCACATCTCCATGCCTGGACCAAAACAAGATTCTTTTTATTCAGAAAAAGGAAGCAAATTTGTATCACTTGCTACTCTTTGAAGCCTAGACTTCAACAATTTCAGAACATTATTCTCTTTTTAGTTGTCTCCTGCCTCACAGACTATATTTTGTCCAACCAGATTCTTCCTCCTCTTCTTCCTCCTCTTCCTTTACCCGACCTTTAAATACAAGGTACTTCAAAAATTCATGGAAAATGCAATTCAAACATAAGTTTATTTTGGTGCAAAATATTTTGAAATCCATGTACGATTTTTCCCCATTATATATTTTTCCTTGAACTTTCTGGCATACCTTCATATTGTTATCACCCAAGGTCCTTGGCCCAGTATTTTTTTCACCTATTCTCCTGGGTGACCCTATACTTTCTTGTGATTTCAATATTGTTAATGTGTTGATAACCTTTTTGAAAATTCATTCATCTATCTACTTACTTATTGAATAACGTTTATAAAGTGCATTCTGCATATAAGGTCTGTGCTGGATAGTGGAGTTACAGTAGGGAGCCAAACAGAAAATGCCCCTGCCTCATAGTTAACTGTGCTTGAAGGTTGTTGTCATGGACTCATTTGGCTTTCCTTATTTTCTTCCTTCCTTTTTTTTTTTTTTAAGATTTATTTATTTATTTGAAAGAGTTACACAGAGAGGAGAGGCAGAGGCAGAGAGAGAGAGAGATAGGTCTTCCATCCACTGGTTCACTCCCCATTTGGCCGCAACGGCCAGAAATGCGCCGATCGGAAGCCAGGAGACAGGAGCGTCTTCCAGGTCTCCCACGTGGGTGCAGGGGCCCAAGGACTTAGGCCATCTTCTACTGCTTTCCCAGGCCACAGCAAAGAGCTGGATTGGACATGGTACAGCCAGGTCTCTAACTGGCGCCCATGTGGGATGCTGGTGCTTCCGGCCAGGGCGTTAACCTGCTGTGCCACAGCGCCAGCCCCTCTTTTCTTCCTTTCATCCATTCTTTCATCTCCACTGATCCATCCCATCATCTATTCATCCACTGGTCTATCGTCGACCACCCATCCATCCTTTCCTTCATCTACTTCTCCATCTATTCACTGGCTCATCCATCCAACCATTGACGTATTCATGAAAGCACCTACCCATTGTCCCATCCATTTGTTAGTTCATCCATTTCCCCAGTCTCAGCATTACTGATACCAAAACAGTGGTGCATCTGGAACCTAGGGAAGGAAGAGGAGGAGAGGGGGAAGACGGGGAAGATGTGGAGGTTGAAGTTGTTGCTGTTTTTTTTTTTCTGGACTTGGTGGTGAGTGTGGAGAGCAGGAATCCCTAAAAGGGCTCCCCATTTGATTCGGACTCATCCAGCCTAGTACCTGTCTATGGACAGACATTTGGGAACCCCTGTGCTAGACTAAAAGAACTGTGAATGAGCTCTTAGTTAAGCTTTCCCCAAAAGCCGACCGTGAGACAAGGACTTGGGTACAATTAAATTTTTTTGCAGGCAACCCCAAGACACCTGAGATTCAAACCTATTGAGGACCTTCCAAGACACACATTGCACAACAGACCTTAAATAATCCACCAGGGACAGGCATCTATCACTGGTTGAATGCTGGGGCCTAACTCCCCAATTCTGAGTTGTCCTCCCAACCTATCCTAGCAAATCCTCAGGGATATAAGAAGAATCAAAAGGAGGCACTAGTAGTGGATTGCTGCCACGGTTCTTTATTCTTTTCCTTAAAGATTTATTTATTTGAAAGGCAGAGTTACAGAGAGGTGGAGGCAGAGAGAGAGAGAGAGAGAGAGAGAGAGAGAGAGGTCCTCCATCCACTGACTCACTCCCCAAATGGCTGCAACAGCCAGAGCTGAGCTGATCCAAAGCCGGGAGCCTGGAGCTTCTTCTGGGTCTCCCACATGGGAACAGGGGCCCAAGGACTTGAGCCATCTCCCACTGCTTTCCCAGGCCATAGCAGAGAGCTGGATCAGAAGTGGAGCAGCCGGGACTCGAACTGGATGCCAGCAGTGCAAGCAGTGGCTTTACCTGTTACACCACAGCACCAGCTCCTGCCAGGGTTCTTTTTTAAAGTTTGTGTATTTATTTATATTTGAAGGGCAGAGTGACAGAAAGAGATTTCATGTGCTGATTCACTCCCCCAGACAGCTTGGGTTGGGCTAGGCTGAAGCCAGAAGCCAAGAATTCCATCCAGGTGTTCTACATGGGTGGCAGGGACCCAAGTGCTTGAGTCACCACCTGCTGCTTCCCAGGGTGTGCATCAGCAGGAAGCTGAATCAGAAGCAGAGGCAGATGTGATTCCAGGCCCTGCAAGATGGGATTGGATACCCCAAGTGCTGGCTTAACCCATTGTACTACAATGTTGCACCTTGCTGTCAGGGTTCTAAGAAGTGTTTGCAGCTTCAGGTGAACCAAGGTGCATCTAGGGGATGTAGGGTGGGGCATTGAAACTACCAAAGAGACCATATTTGCTTGTTTACGCTGCATCCTGGGGACTAGAACAGTCCTAACCCTGATATTTGGCCTACAATGGATGCTTAATAGATATTTGATCAGTGAGTCCTATGTGCCTGCCAGACCCTACCCTTCTGGCTGCACTTCCTTCCCCAGTCTACATGCTACCATCTCTTCTGCAGCTTCCTCAGCCTCTTTGTCCTCTATCACACCCCTAGAGGGTTGCTGGGAGCTGCTGGAAGCATAAGGCTCCCTCCACCCCATGCCTGAGCACGGCTGGCCATCCTGCTGAGGGTCCCTGGGCAGGGGTCCCTCCCCCACCTGCCTTACCCCATGCCTGAGCATGGCTGGACCATCCTGCTGAGGGTCCCTGGGCAGGGGTCCCTCCCCCATCTGCCTCCTCCTGGTGGTGATCCCACTGTCATTTTGGACTCAGTTATGGCCAGACTCTTGAAGAAACACTCGATCGAGACCTCTTAGGGGGCAGAGTTCATCTCCCTAGCCCTGCCTCACAGCCAGGGCTGGGGACCAGCCTGAGGCAAGTGGGGCATTTGCCTAAGGAGAAAAATTTAAGAGTGAAAAAAAATTTCAGTAGGCAAGATAAGAATGGCAAGTGTCCTAAACAGCACTCTGGCCTCATAATCAGCCCTTAAGGCATGCGGATCCAGCTGAAATGCCCATGAGAGTATTTCAGGCATGGAAAGCCAAGACACTCTGGGGGGAAAAAAAAACCTAAATGAAAGATCTCCACGAGTGAGGTCCCAGTGGAAAGAATGGGTCATCAAAGAAGGAGGTACCTTTCTCTGAAGGGAGGAGAGAACTTCCACTTTGACCATGGCCTTGTCTAAATATGATCAGAGTCAGTGAACTCAGGGGGCTTCCATAGCCTTGGCAGCTCATGACAAGAGCCTAGGGTGATTACTGATGCCATAAACAAGAGTGTCAATTTGTTAAGTCAACAACAGGAGTCACTGTGCACTTACTCCTCATGTAGGATCTTTGTCCTTAGTGTGCTGTACATTGAGATTTAATGCTATAACTAGTACTCAAACAGTATTTTTCACTTTATGTTTCTGTGTGGGAGCAAACTGTTGAAATCTTTACTTAATGTATGCTAAACTGATCTTCTGTATATAAAGAGAAACGAAAATGAATCTTGATGTGAATGGAAGGGGAGAGGGAGTGGATAAGGGGAGGGTTGCAGGGTTGGAGGGACGTTATGGGGGGGAAGCCATTGTAATCCATATGCTGTACTTTGGAAATTTATATTCATTAAATAAAAGTTAAAAAAAGATTTTTTTAAAAATAAAAATGCAAATATGAACCATGATGTTCATGATAATATTAACAGAACAAACAAAACCAGAAATAAAAACAGACAGGGTATTGCTGGGAGTTCATTTAGCCTCAGGCCCCAGTATGGCTCCACTTGCTACTAATCCTGCTTTCTGTTACAGATCCTGCAGGCCTAAGAATTCAGGAGGAAATTGATGCCTGCACCTTTGGAATGCAGCTTTTTAAAGGCAGCTTGTTGGGTGGGTAGATGGATAAATATGGAATAGACACCGTGTTGTAAAAGGTTCACTACTCAGTCTATGTCATGGGTAGGTGGATGTCCATGGTGGAATTCTCACCTGTTCTGCATGTTAGAAGTTTCTCATAATATTGAAAAGGAAGAAATAAAAGAGCAAGGATACCAATAAAATAAAATAGGAAGGATACCGAGACTTCCTGTGGTCAAATCAGCCTCACCTAGGAGTCCCTGGATGTCTAGGTCTGGGCTACCCACCACACTCCACTCATGCTGGGGAGCATTCCACAGCGCCTGTCTCCCCCTTGTCCAAGGTCTCTCTCTGGCTCTTGTCCCTGAAATTCTCCTCCCCTACCCACTCCCTGCACTCCAGCAGCAAAGCCTGGGTCTTCTGCACGTCCTGACTGGTCCCTATGGGGCCTACTGGCTCCCTCCTTCCATCCAGCATCCCTACGTTATCAGCCCCTGGGGGAGCGGATGACGTGTGAAAACATGGTCAGTGATAGGGCATCCTTCTATAGGGAAAGACGGCTGAAATGCCGCTCCTGAAATAAAGCACTAGAAATCAGCAGTGCTTATCAACTGGACAGGGGCTAGGGAAGAAAAGAAGCATTTAGGACTCCAGGGTGTGCACAAGTTGATCCCAATGACAAAGATGGAGAACCCTCTTTGAGGGCTGGCAGCTTGCGCTCTGACCGCTGGGGGGCGAGGCAGCGCCGTCTGGGGATCCTGCAGCGAAGGGACTTGGTGTTTCCCAGCTAGGGTCCCAGGCCGAGCCAAGTACACTGACACACCTCTTGCTGCAAGTAGGGACAATTTCTCAGGATCCTTAGCACACCTAGCCGAGATGCCCCCCAAGAACTGACAGGCACCCAGCAGGGCTGACCTGGCTTTCTCTTCCCAGACTCCAGAATGAGCCTTGCCAGACCTTTCTGCTCCCCTGGGCTCCTACCTTTCTGTTCCCACTGTGGACAAGGAGAACTCAGGACTTCTTCCTCCCAACTTCTACCCAGGGTTTTTGGAGGTGGGTAGGGTTAGGGGTACAGAGATGGGTCCCATCTACTCCTGATTCCCATTTCTCCCCAAGTCTGGATATTGGTGTCCTACTGACCAGGGTGTAGGGTTCCTGTGGAGCAGAGCCAGGCGAGCCTGTGGAGGTGGCTGCAGCTGCCCTGAGCCCTTCTGAAGATGAAAAGGATGGAGCTGGTGCAAGGTGATGCTCCCACCTTCCCTCCTAGGAGGAAACCCAGGCTTTTCCTGAAGGCTACAGCCACAGAGCACTCCCAGCATCAGTAGATCTGTGGTAGAGCAGCAGGGGCGGAGCAGCGGGGGCAGGGGCGGGATGAACAAGCAGCCCCTCCTCAGGCCTGGGAGATATCAGTGGACATAGGATGATGGGAAACTGAGGAGACCGTGGCTAGCCATGCTACGTGGTAGTGACAAAGGGGAATCGGGCAGGCAGCAGTGGACAGGTGTCTCAAATGGCCCGCATTGGAGTTGTGGCTGTTGAGGGCACTGGCTGCCCTCCTACTTCCCCTCCAGCCCCCCCACCCCCCGCCAATGTGGCTGCAGAACCAGGGTGATGCAAGGTCACCTCCGCGGCAGGTGCATCCCCGCGCTGCCTCCATGGATGCTCTACACTCTTGCACATGCATTTACTAAGGCTCTCACAAGAGCGCTCCACTCCACATACCTGTTTTCACATAATCTGTCTCTCACACACGTCTGGCACCGCCAGCAAGGAAAAGCACACAACCATTAAGACATCCTGAGTTCTTTCCGCTGGAACCTGGAGAAATGGTTCCAGACGAGGCATCTGCCTCCCTAGTGGCTTCTCCGGAACAACCCAGCCATTCAGGGGTGGGGCAGGGTGTGTGTCTCCCAGTTCCCACCTGGGATACCTAACCCTGACCCTTCTCAACATTTTCAGAGCTGCACATCCCTGTTTATTGCCTGGTTTCCCACTACTTTTTTGTAAGCTCCAGGAGGGCAATACTGAATTTGTTTCTCCTGACAGCCAGCACAGCCCCCGCCCTGATGGGGGCTGTCTGTGGATACGTGTTGAAAGGAGGGTGCATGCGCAGGCGCACACAACCCACCCCACCCTACCCCACCCCCGTTTGTTTGTTAGGATTGCAGATTGGGAACTTCCACTAAATCCTACCCAGAAGAGACATTCCCAACAAAACTGTCCTGGCGACTGAGCAGGCGCCACTGCACGCTCCTTCTGCTCCCGCCAAAACCCAGAGAGGCTCCTCTCTCCCTGCGCTCATGAGTTCTTTCCCCTTGGGTGCCCCTTGACCCTCTCCTGCTGCACCGGGCGTAGCGCAGGAATCCCGGCTGGCGCGAACACAGAACCGACAGGGAGCCGCGCGCGCCTTTGTGTCTTCTTTATTTGCGGATATAATTATGCACCGCACTCTAAATTAGAGATAAATTTTTTTTTCTGATATACATTTCATCTTATTCACCACGAGCACACCACACGCACAGTAGAACAGTTCCACAACCTGATAAATTGCACAAGATGAGTTTGGGTTCCTGAAAACCGGCAGACAAGCCGGCCCCGCCGCGGCTTAGCCGAAGGTAATCGCCCGCCCGAAACGGATTTCCGCGCCAGCCTCTCCGGCTGCAGGGTTGGAATGTCTCCGGAATGGGAAGCGCTCTTGCTGGAAATGTCTGGACGCTGTAGTTTCTGAGCACTGAATGGCTGTGAAATGTCCCCCCCACACCCAAAGTCAAGTGTCCACGCCTGCGAGCTGCGCCCCCCTCGCCTCCTTTCCCACCCGCCACGGTGCCCGGGACTCAAGTGTCTAGGTCCCTCCAGGAAGCACAGAAAACGCTGCCCACAAAGGCGCCCCCGCCTCCCTCCAGAACCAGGGTGTTGTGGAAAAGAAAGGACAACAGAAACGCAGACGCGGTGGATCGTGGATCCCTATCCCCTCCCACCCCCCATGCCTGAATAACCAGAAACTAGGAACCAGAGATGTTGAAAGCTTGGCTTCCCAAGCGCGGCGGCAGGGCGCACGGGGCTGGCGGGGGCGGGGTGGGCGGAGAGGGGGAGCGAGCAGGGGCGCGGCCGGGGCAGGCCCTAGCGCCTTAGTCCTCCGCGTTGGTTCGGTAGGCCTCGATGAGGCCCTCCAGGGAGTGCACGAAGCCGGACACGCTGCAGATGCCGCCGATGACGAAGATGGCGACGTCGAAGAAGACCTGGTGCCACAGCAGCTTACGCCAGAGCAGGCGCAGGTGGAAGAGGCTGGGCAGCAGGAAGCAGAGGCCGGCGCCCGTGAGGCTGCCGGTGAGGCCCATGAGCAGCGCGAAGTGCGGCACGTAGATGGCCATGAGCAACGTGAAGACCACGAGCGCGCAGCGGAGCGTCAGCCCCCACGACTTGAGGCGCCCGTCGCCGCCGTAGCAGGCGGGGAAGAAGGCGCGGCTGCCTTCCTGGAAGAGCGACTTCTCCAGCACCTCCACGGCGGCGAAGAAGGGCAGAGGGTAGGACAGGAGTGCCTTGGCCACCAGAAAGATGTTGACCACGGCGCGGATGGAGCCGGGCAGGTTATCCGTAATGACCTCCTTGGTCTCATCCGCCCAGGTGAGGTAGGCGACGAGCGCGAAGAGGCCCTTGAGCACGCAGGCGGCGATGTGCGTCCAGTTCATCATACAGTGGAACTCGCTGGGCTGCTGCATGTTGCCCTCCAGCGAAGGCAGGAAGATCTGCGACGTGTAGCTGAACACGATGATGCCGATGGAGATGGGGAACTTCTTGACGTCGATGTAGAATTTGACCTTCTCCCAGGCCCAATCGCGCGCGCGCGACAGGCAGTAGGCTATGACCAGGATGTTGATGACGAAGTGGGCCAGCGTGCACAGCAGGCTGAACTTGGACACGGCCTTGAGGTTCTTGAGGAAGGCGCAGGGCAGCAGCACGGCTGTGGCGATGATGGACCAGGACTTCTGCGACACGGGCAGCCCAGGGAAGCTGTTGTACATGAGGTTGCCGCTCACCACCACGTACAGGATGCACGTCATCACCAGCTCGATGATCTGCGCCACGTTCACCACACGACCACCCAGCGTGGGGAAGCGCGGGGCACAGCAAGCGTTGGCGATGGCCACGTAGGAGTCCCGCACGCGCACCACCTCGCCGTCCTCGTTCTCTTCGTACAGGCACGCGATGAGGATCTTGCCAGTGTAGCAGCACACCACGGCGGCGAAGATGATGAGGAACAGCCCCAGATAGCCGCCGTGCAGGATGGCGTAGGGGAGGCCCAGCACGAACATGCCCTGCGCGGCGAGAGGCAACCAGATCCGGGCGCTCAGTGGGCGCCGCCCACCGAGAGGGGACTCTGGGGGGCGTGACTTACGGTTACGGCCGGGAGGGGGCGCTAAAACCGCGGGGAGGGACCAGAGGGGTAGGGGGGAGTGAGGGCAGAGAGAAGCCTAGTGGGAGTCCGCTATGAGTCAGTGATGGACAGGCAGGTGTTGCGGCCCGCACTGAGCAGGAAAGGTGTGCTGATGGTTGGGAGGCTGGGAGAAGGCTGGGGGCAGGAAGGCGGAATGCGGGGTTTGGATGGAGGAGATGCGCAGTGGCTGGAGCGAGGTCAGGGGAGGGTGCAGCCTGGGCTCGAGATTTGAGGTGGGGCCTAAGTGCGGGCTAGAGAGGGGAACGAGGCAGAAAAGGGACAGGAAGGGCAGGGGGCTAGAGAGGAGATGGGGGGTGCAGGGCTGAAGAAGCGGAGAAGCCGCAGGGAGGCAGGAACCGAGGCTCCGGGCGGGTGTCGTAAGGCTCTGGGAAGGGGGCGCAGGGCGAAGGGGACCATGCTGGAAACAGGGGATCTTAGGACAGCACTGGAACCGGCCGGGTACACGGCAAGCCCCTAAGCAGAGGTGGGACTAGGAGGGCGAGATGGCTACGGGTGCCTGTCCCAGAAGCCAAACCCAGCAGGGGTCTAGAACCGGGCTGGGCCGTTTGAAACCCAGCCTGAGAGTAAAGGCTAACGAAATTCTGGTTCCCGGAGGCTTACAGCCCTCCAGCTTCCTGCCCTGGCGCTCCCTCCGACTACAGAACCGGGCCCTGGAAGACTCGGACCGCATAGGTGCTAGTGACAACGAAGGCTATCGCAGCCCCCCTCCCACCCCACTCACGTCTTTGTCCAGTGGGCCCTGGGGTTGGGGGGTGCCTTGGATCGGGCCGCCTGGTGTTCAGGGCCTCGCGGAATGACGCTAGAGCCGGGTACCCACAACAATCCCGCCACCGCCTCCTGCTCCCGGGAACTCTACGTTCTGTTCTGCGCCCACAACGGTCGTGCGCTCTGGGGTGGGCACCCGACCAAGCCGCAGGGGTCGGGGACACTTGGGCCTGAGGGCTACTCCGCCCGGAAAACCGCAGCCTGCTGGTCGCTGCCAGCTCCCGGAGTCGTTGTGAGGACTCCAAACCGGCTCCTGACGGAGTCCGGCGCCGCCTGGTGGGAGGTGGGCCGGTGGGAGTAGCGGGAAGAGGTGGAGAGCTTAGGGTCAGAGGTTGTTCTGCGCCCCTGCAACCGGACTTCGCTAGGGTGGCCTGCAGAGGCGGTGGCCTCCTCTTTGCGGTGTAGCCGGGATTTCGGGCGAGCGGGGCTAAGCCTGAGAGCAGAAGGCACTGGTGTATGTGGACCATAGGTGCTCGCATGAGCACACATGTGTGCCTATGAGTGCGCGCCTGGATGTCTCCAACAAGGCTGCCCCTGCGGGAGCGGGCTTCGTCCTGTCTGCATCAGGGCCCGTGCGTGCGTGTGAGAATGTTGCGTGCAAACGAGTGTGTGCAAGCATGTGTTTTTGTGGGGGCGGGGAGTAGGGGTGTACGCAGGTGCGATTGGGGATAGTCCTGTGGTCTATAAATAGATGCGTGTCGTGAGGAGGGGGGCTGTGGGCATGTGTGTCTGCCTATGGACGTTTGCGCGGGTCTCTGCGTGTGTGTCAGGGGAGGAGACTCCCAGCTCAGCGACTTCCCTCTCTGCTGCCCCCCCCCCAAGTCGCTGCTGTGAGTCCATTCCGGAGTCCAAGGCGACACCGTTCCCTCCAATCCTGATTTTCTCTCTCCCTCATCCTTTCCCCAGACTACCTCCCCCTCACCCCCCGCCCGCGTTTCTGTCGCCTTTGCAGGGTCTCTGGGTGCCAGTCTCCCTCTGAAGCTCGGGCAAGCTGTCTTGCAGTGGGAGCAGTGGGAGGGGGTGAGGATCAGGTCAGGAGACATCGCCTAGACAGATCCCCGCGCCGAGCGGAGGGATTCTCTCAGCCATCACCACCGGGGGACCTGGCTGGGAATAGAGCCCCGCA